GAACCACTACGAATAACACAAAATTCAAATGTAAAATCAAAAGTACAAAGCAAAGAAGATTGTTGGCAACATTTTTATAAGTATATACGTATTATTATTATTTGTATATATGTATTTTTTATACGACAACATCGCGAACAACAGCAACCACAACAACACGAAAAACAACAACATTTTCTACAGCAACAAATATGAAACGCACGTGATGCTCAGCGATTCCACGAACTGGTAAGCGAAACGTTTGTGTGTGCTCAGATATTAAGGACATTAGGCGAAATCAAGCAGAACGACAGAGCAACAAGATGCTGTCGCACTCAACAGTCGGGGCCTTAGCTTCTGTTTGCCTCAGTCCGCCGACTTCTCCAGGCCTTTCAGGCCAGCTCCAACACTCCTAATACATCTTCACACGGCACAGCCTCTCTTCGCTCTCAGCGGCAGCACACGAAGACTGCGAAGCCTTCGTGCATTTTCGGCTACTTCGTGCGCCGCTGCTTTCTAATTGCACCCTCTCTCTCTCTCACACACACACACACACTCTCTCTCTCTCCTTATCTGCCAGCAACTGTGTAAATGTATCTGCCTATGTGTGTGTGAGTGCATTACATTAGCATGCAACAGCAAGAGCAGCAGCGGCAACACTTCGGCATCCTTCGGGCTTCGGCTGGGAGCTGCGTATGTATGTATGTGTTTGTGTGAGGGAGTGCGTCTCTTTGTAGCAGACATGCTTGCTGGGTGCCTGCTTCTTCTAGTTCATCTTAAGCTACGCGCGCGTACGGTTCGCCACGCCGTTCGTGCTCGTCGGTTCAGTCGTCGCCTCGCTCGTGAGGACACTTCGTCATCGGCTCTTTGCCTTGTTGTGTTTCTTCGTCTAGGTATGTGTGCGTGTTTGCTTATTTGAATATGTGTACGTGTATGTGTGTGTGTGTGTGTGTATGAGCAAGCGCACACTTACTTGCACTTACTGCCGCCTGCGTATAGGAAATTATCTGCTGCTGCTGCTGCTTCTGCTGCCGACTCTGCCGCTGCCGCTGCTACGTCGTCTAATACATATATAAATAATATATATTATTATATAGATATACATATATTTAAATGCGCACTTCGTGCCGCTCGGTGTACATAGAAAAAACAAGCAAGCTGACGTCGTTAGGTTGGAGCAAGCAAGCCAGCAAGTAAGCAACGACAACGACTGCCTGCTTGCAAGAAAGTGTTGCATACTTATGTGGGCAACTGACGTTGACGTCGCGACGCAGCAGCAGCCGTAGTAGCAGCGCCATCGCCTTGGTCTTTGGGTTTTCGGCATTTGGTCAAGCCAAGCATTTTACTTTTATATTCTAGAATACAAAATTCAGTACGTTTCTAGTCACGCGCGCTGGCAGAAGTTTTGCTTGGCGTTTCTGTCTTCTGACTGCCGACGTTGACGCTCGCCGCCTCGACTTGTGTAAAAATGCATTCAATTCAAATCAACTTAAATATAATAATCAATTAATATAAAAAAATTCTCAAATTAAACAACATCAAATCTCCTATCAATCGAAGCATATACCCAGTGCATAAGCAACTGATCAATTTAAAAGTCAACAATAAACTTCAATTATAATTAATTAAAATTTTGCCAAATAATTCTTTAAATAATAATACAATTAATAAAATTAAAAATTAAAAATAAGCTAATATCTGAAATATTTCACTGCTGTTTGTGGTACGTGAGAGTTGCAGTCGTTGCTTGAAATTAAAGTGAGATTTTAAGATGAGTTGATTTGTTGATTACTTCAAAGCGGTCGACGTTAGGCGCTCGATTAGCCGATTAGCCAACCAACGCGGCACGCAGCCCCAAGACAAAAAAAAAACATAAACAACACACAGAGGCAGAGGCACACAGACGCCAACGGAAGCGGCTGTTGCTGGCATTGGTGGTGGGCAACGCATTGCGCATACGACAAGTTGTCACGCAGTTTCGCTTGGTGCGCATTGGCAGCAACCGCTTCTTGGCACCGTTGGGGCAAGAAACTTGGCCGGAATTTATCTAAAACTCTTAAGCCTACCAGCCAGGCAGACAGACACACAAATATAAAGCAGGAGCGCCTTCGATTCGCCGCAAAGCTTCCTAAGTTTGTCAGCAAGCGACTGCGGCTGGCAAATCACACACAAACACATACACGCACACGCACACACCGCAGAGAGCGCTTACTTATATAGTTGAAATAAGCACACATACATGCTCATACAGAGATGCCTAATTTTATATAAATACACACAGACACACACAAACGCACACACACACAGTGGCAGACACAAATTGGGTTTCACGAGTCGAATATAAAAGCACTTGGCCTTCGTTTCTTGTGAGACATTCGATCGTCTTGGCTCGCAGCATCAGCGTCGTGGCCTCTCGACAGAAGCAGCAGCAGCCGATTAGGAAGGCAGCCAGCCTTTGCTCAGTTGGTCAGTCAATTGTCAGGTAGTCAGTTGTAGTTCGGCTAACGCAGCATCCGCTACGTGGGTACGTGTTGGGATATTGCCAGACTTATAGTCGAGGCTTGTTTCCATAAAAAAACGTATTTATTTTTGGAGCTAAATTGGGTTGAAACTGTGATAAAATGCAAGAATATTATTTATGAATTCTATTAAAACTATAAACTAAATAAAACTGTGACAAAAATAACAAACGTGTGCTCAACAATAAAATAATTAATATTTCATGAATACTATTAAGCAAGGAAATGTTTAATAAATTTACAAAACATCAACATATTGTGCATTTCAAAGTGGCATAAAAAATAATTCATAAATATTAAAATATGTGAAATAAATAAGCTTAAAAATATGAAATACACAAATTTTTAGTTCTTTTATAAGTAACTTTAAATTTTTTATAGTAGTGGAATTCAGTTAAATATTGTTTTACGCATATAAAAAAAAAAAAAAAAAATATTGCTTTTAAAAAGACTAAAACTGTTAAAATCTATTTAATATTTCAAAATTTTTCTTTAAAGATTTTCATATTTTTATTTTTCTTAATAATTTATCCTATTAGAATAAATATGTGAGCTAACATAAGTTACTTTACTAAAATTCAGAAAAATGAATGATTAAAAAATAATTTATTAAAAAAAAATATGTGTGTATTGTATTTTATAATAATTATAATTATTTATACTTGATACAAAAATATATTTTTATCTTTTCTGTTAAATTGTCTCTTAAATCTTTTCCGTTATTATTTATTATAGGTTTATTTTCTATTAAAATATAGCATTATATATATTTTTATTTAATAAATCAATTTCTGAACTTTTCCATAGAAACTCAATTCAAAAATTATTAACTAAATTATGAACAAAGATAAAAATGAAACTCATCAAGTAATTTACGTCGAATAAACGTCTCACAAAAAGCGCTGCGGCAACGAAACAAAATTTCTAAATATAAATTCTACAAAATGTGCAAAGAATATTTCAAATAATTACTATAAAAAAACATACCTTATAAAATAAATATAAAAAATAGCAACCATGTAAAATTAAAATGAATTGAAAATTTGAAAAAAAAACAACGTATTTTGAGTAAACAACAAATAAAAGAGAAAATAAAAAGTGTAGCCGAACTAACGGCAGTGCATGAAGTGATACCAAGAGAATGTATAAAATATAGCATTCAACTCGGCTGTGCCTTATATTTATTTATGTTGCCACTTTATGAAAAATATATATATTTAAAAAATAAATTGAAAATAAATTAACAACGACATGCAAAAGTGTTTAGTGACACCCGCTCTTGACCCCTCAGTTGCCCGCAGCGCTTAAAAGTTTTTGTGTTGATACCTGAACTGTGCTGACCCCGCACCTTACTGCATCCCCCAAGTAATACTTGTGTTCAAACGCGCCGGCTACAAAATGTGCCACCAACAACGTCAGCATCAAGCGTACCAACGCCAAACACCGGCCCACTCACAGGCCCAAGTCCAGGCAAGAACTTGCCACGAGCTATTGCCACTGCCACAGCCACAGCCACTGCCACAGCCGCAGCCACTGCCGCTGGCGCTGGCCAGTGTCCAGTCATGGTGGCATCCAAACAGAGCCGCTAAATCCGCCAGCAGCTAAGGCTGAGGCGCAACGCAGTTTCCGCTGTAACGAAATCGCCAATGGCTATGTAAACTTAAATTAAGGGTAAAATATCGCAAATGGTATTGGTGCAAAAACACAACAAAAACAAAAACCAAACATAAAAACTATAATAATATGTATTGATTGATAGTGACAACACTTTACTTCTCCAAGACTCGAAAACTCTAATAGAACCCTTAAACATTGAGCTGTGTTTCCCTTTGATTAAGTAGCTTATATAATAGAAGACTATCGACAAGACCTTTGGCAGGAAACGAAATCATAATTTAGTAGCTTGCACTAGCAAAGTTTATAAACTAAATAAAAAGCAGCAAGTTTTCTTTAAGTTTATGATTCATTTAAGAACAAATTTAATAATTTATTTAAATACCTAAAATAATATTTTTACTTGACTGATTAGATTGAGATTTGAATTTTAGTAATTAATTTTTCCTTGATACTTTATATTATTTTTATTTTAAATATTAAAATATATTTATATATTTTTATATTACTCAAATTTTATTTTATTAATATTTATATTTTATAATATTTATTATGCATTAATTTTTCTGTTGAATATTATTATTACTTTATTTTTTTCTAGTTTCACTTGCAGCTTAACTTGATGGCATAAGTAAGAAATGCTGGGGATGGCATATAAATGGCAAAAGAAATAATTTGAAACCTATTAAAAATTAAAGATTAATCAAAATAATCTGTTTGAGCGAAAGTTTAGATACATCTGTAGTACCGACTAGCTAACCAATTGAGTGTCCTTTTTCCTAACCTGATTTTGTTCTCTTCCAGCCCTAAAATCGTCAAGCAAATGTACAAAATACTAATCACAACATTCTTGTGCGCCTCGTGCAACTGTTTGCTCTTTAATTGCAGGTTACACCATATCGAGAAGTTATCCAATGAGAAAGCCGCTTAAATTTTGGTAAGTACCCACCCATTAAAAGCGAGCCCTAGACTTAAGACTGAACTGACCGAAGGCCCCAAAGTCTTCGGCAAATGAAATGCTTTTGTGTGCAACGAGTGGACTTCATTTTTTAATTAGAAAGTCAACACATAGACTGCCTGGCAGACGTAGCTGCATATGTGAATAAGAAGAAGAAGAAGAAGCTGCAGGATGAGAGAAAGCGAGATAGAGGGAGAGATGCCTTTGTGAGCTCTCACTCCACAGCTGTTCGCTTGGCTTTGTTTACGCTTATTTGTGTGCTACTTAAGATGAAATGGCAAGAAAAGTGACGTTGATGCGGGGGCTGCACGAGAACTGGCTGAGGCAGCGGGGGGAGGGGATAGACCAGGACCATATGCAAGGCTCGGCCGTAGCCTGTGTCCATTTTAATTTTAGTTACTCTTAACGCAACGTTGACTTGCAATTCTTTTCATTTATATAGCCCTGCCTCTATGTCTTTATCCTTTCTCTCTTTCCGCCAGTAATGTGTGTGTGTGAGTGTGTGTGTGTGTGTGTGGCATATAAAAATTGGCGCTGACTAAGAAGACGAGACGTTTGGGGGTTTGGGGGAGCCGTTTGGCTAGGCGCCGCCTCTTGAGGCAGACGGAAGCGGAAATTGCTGAAGTTGCTTTTGTATAAGTGTGCCTGACTGCCTGTATGTGCGTGTGTGTGTGTGTAATGATGCGACATGTTATACTTCTGCTGTCAGCAGACGCTGCTAGTTGTTGCTGCTGTTATTGCTGCCGCCGTGCAACATTTACAAGCAGTTGCAATTATTTTCAGCTTAAATGACAAAATACAAGGAAACAAGTCTTAAGCATTTGCTCCCACCTATCCAAAGCCAGCCCAGGTCCTAGCCCAGAACGAGGACTCGTTATTATTCTTGTTGTTGTATTGTTTGTAATTCTTGTTGTTGCTGTTGTTGTTGCCGCTGCTGCTGCTAGCTGCTGGCAGTCAGCTCCTCCACGCAAGTTGCCGACGTGTAAATGAGTTTTTTTTTTTTCCTAGATGCAAAAATACCCTCTAGACACATCTATGGGGTATGCTGCAACAAGCATTGTGTATGAGCTGAAAACAGAATATAGAATTTATTTTATTATATTTATGGAGTAATTGGCGTGTTTCATTTTATGTTGATCATACAACAAAGCCAATATTCTTTAATCTCTCGTTTTTCAATATATTACTAGTATTAAAACGGATTTATTGAATTTCAAAATTAACTGAAATTATTTTTATCAAACTTGCAAATTAATTGTAAGCCAAATTGATTTCAGCTCGAATTTAACATATTTATTTTACTATTGTTATAAGTCTGCGATTGGGAACAAAGCCTTAAAGCAGTTAGTTTCCTTACGTGAATCTTATCATATCTTCCAAATTTTCTATATAATATATATTTATATAGGGGAGCCTAAAAACTTAAGTTAGTAAATCTGTCCCCTGACAATCGTCAATATTTATTTTGTATCTTATTTTATTTTATTATTTTTTAAACTTACTATTTTTTAAGATTTTTTTAAATTATAAAAATATCTTTAATTATGCATATTTACATACATTATATTATATTTATGTTAATAAATTTGTGTTATTTGGTATATTTTAGTCGTTCAGTTTGGTTTACTCTTTGCCATCATGAACTTTGCATATCCCCGCATTGTTGTTGTTTTTGTTGTTGTTGCAGTTGTTATCGCTATGTGTGTTGTGTTTAATTTGAACAGGCCCAACTTTGGCCCGGCTGCTTGAGTCACGAAGCCAGCGCCTGTGCGCCCCTGTTGCTCTTACCGCCGGCTTTGTGTGCCCGCTATGCTGCATCTCCTGCTACTGCTGCTGTTGCTACTTTGCCAGTTTTCTTTTCATATTTGCCACATGTGCGGCAGCAACAAAAACTTCTCATTTGGCTGCCCGCCTGGCTGCTTAGCTGCTCTTATGTCGGCCTAAGTAAGTGCACCTAAGGCTACTTATGCAAAATGTAAATTAAAGTTGACTTTTAGGCGCACAATGCCTGGCCAAGTCTCTGCACGGCCGCCTTTGGCTGCCTTTGGCAGAACTTTGCCGTGTCGGACAGTGTAAGGTTTGAAGAAAGTTGTTCACATTGAATATTTAGTATGGCTTGTGCTCGGAAAATGTCATGTGGAAAGTTTCGACGGTTTCGCCATGCTCGGACAACTCTCAGCTAACTGCTAAACCGGAAATCGTTTTAAGAACGGAAGTGAAAATTCTGCCACAACAACAACAACGGCAGCAGCAGCAGTTGAGCGCAACCATCTAAACACACATCTAACAGCGTCCATCTGGGGACCGCGTAATCTTCTATTCAAACTAAACAATAAAAAACCGCGACTACAGCGCAAATTCATTCAATTGCAAAAAGAAAATTACCCTAAAAAAAGCTAAACACAGCAGCCGCACAGACCGAGGTATCTACAAAAGCTAACTATAGCAACAAGTCGTTATGATTATCTAGAATTAAATAAAGCACACACACATATACATTGACATAAACTAACATAAAGCACAAGTCTGGGTCTCGACTCGAGCTCTGACCATTGGCCAATGGCAATCGCTCACTTGAGCGTTGGACCAAGTTGCACGCCTCGCTGAGCAGAAGCCGCGACCCCGAGCCGAATAGTCGTTTCATGTTGATCTGCAACCCCATACCCCCTGCCACCCCCACCACCCTCGCCATCCCCCACCAGCAGTCGCCAACACGGACCGAGTTTCCCATTTCAACGATCGCGCGCGCTATTCGCTTTGGAAATTAAGTCAGCAAATGACTTGTAGAATATCAACACATGCCCACCGACTGGCTGCCTGTCTGGCTGTCTGACTCTCCCTGCCGCCGTCTGGCTACCCAGCTGTCCATCTGTATCTGTGAGATTGTTTTTTATTTCGGATATGAGCTGGCGACGCAACAACAACGTGCTGCTGCTGCTGCTGCTGCTGCTGCTGCTGCTGCTGCTGCTGCAGCCGAGCAACAAGATAATCAAGTGTAATTTATTTCGTATTTGCTGCCCGCCATGCATGAGTAAAACGAATACGACAAAGTCCGACTCGGACTCGGACAACTACAATGACTGTCGAATGCGAGCGCCCATCTAACTATCTAGTATCTAGAAACACAAGCGAGCGCTGAGATAAATCCAGTGCCAACTAAACATATACAGGCACTTACATATGTATATATATATAATATACTAGATATATATTTAGATCTATACGAGCGCACATTGAAAATTGTCAGCAAAGCTTAACTCTAATCTAAAAACAAGACAAGTTAAGCGAAACATTGATCAACAACAGCTAGATACACTTCAAAATATTAGAATAGACGAACTATTTCATTTTTAAATAATTAAAGCAAAAAACTCAGATAAAGATGTTTTTTTAATTTATGTCTTACAATCTTTGAAACAAATATAGCAAGTGAATAGAGAAATTCAAACAGAAATTTATTTTAAAATAATATTATTTATTTCAATGATTACAATTTTTATCATTATAACAAAAATTATTTTTAATTATTATTTTAATTATTTATAAAATAATATTGGATCAAGATAATAAATTTATTATATAATATATATTTATGCATTTTATATTTAATTTTTAAAATGTTTAGCGATGGGATGCTCTTTGCCATTCTTTATATCGCTAAATCTTAGCCAATTTGAATTTCATGAACTAATGTTTATCGTCTAGTATCTCACTCTGAATAACACAGAGATATTATCCATCATAATGCACTTGTTGTACCCCTGTCACACTTAGAAAGTAAAAAACGAAATACACTCCCCACCCCAATGATCTCTAGACCGGATGCTCGTGCACTTGGCGTGTCGCCTATGGATAACTATTTCGATTCGATTTCGGTTTGAGTGTCGATTCTATGGATCTCGAAGCCCCGTTCGCGTTTTAAGTATCTCCCATGCTGTGTCGAAATCATTGACGCATCGCATTACATAGACCAATTCTGGTGCAGTTTGGCTCGAACTCGTTCAAAGACTCAAATGTGTTAGACTGCCAAGGCGGAAGCTTAATCGTTAACTATGAGCGCTGACTAACAAGTCGTCGCATATCTACACACACACATACACATACTCACATTCATACATGTAATGTTTCCCACGTGCAGCACGACAGCAACAACAAGTGGCGCACACACCCTGAAGCCAATCTCACACCCTGCCACGGCCCCTGCCACAACAAGTTGCAGCCATATAGCACGCACCAAGCCCGAAATGAATGAAATGAAAAGGGGGAAACGCGACATAAAATACTTATTAAAAAAGGCGAAAAGTTAATAATATGCGAGAAAGCAACAAACAGTAAACAGTAAACAGCAAACAGTAAAAGGTAAAAGCGTCGCCCATGAAGCAAAGTTCCGATGCCGTTGCCACGTTGGTGGTTGTCGATGCTGCTGTTGCTGTTCCTGCTGCTGCTGCCTCCATAGACAGGCAACATAAAGCACGGGTCAGCAAAGGTGGTGCTGGTGCTGCTGGTGCTGCTGCTGGTGGTGGCGGTGGCCAGCGCAAATCTTTCAAGAGTAGTTCCGCTCTTTTGTATTGTGGGCACAGTTGCAGCACATCCGCTCCAAGTTGGCTGCCTCTGTCACGAAGAACGCTTCGACCTGTGAGGGAGTACGCACTGATTATCTTTGTATAATGATTGCAATTAAAAAGCGGCTCACGCGGTGGGCGGGGCGCTAGGCGTGAAATGTGCGGCACAGGCCAAACTAACGAGGGCTCTGCTCGAGGGGGAGTGGGGGAGAGGAGGCAGTGGAGACTAAGGTGCAGTCGATCACTTGTAGTTTGTACCGGAAATAGGCACCATTTTGAGTGTGAGTGCGAGTGTGTGTGTGTGTGTGTATAAAAGTCGAGCTCAGTTCAAGTTCTTGTTGCGCATTGGCCAGCAAAAGAGACAGAGATTCAAACGAATATTGCTCAATTGTTATTATGTTACGCTTAGTGAGCAGA